CATCTGATCAAACAACCTATCAATTTATCTTCCACAGTGCATCAGAGACAGAAGAAACTGTCTGTATCCCAAAGCACTTGTAATGTCCAGTTACAAGGGACRAGACTAGACACAGGCAGGTAAGGTRTCTCTGTATCTGTTTTCTGATGCTTGTTCTCAATCACCTTCAGSTCGGGTAAAAAGCCTGTGTATGGCTTGTGTGATGTGTTTTGAGCACTGCTAGGAGGGGGTTTAAAAACAACCTCGATGAGAAATTATATTGTCAATCTCAGCAGAGCATCTCGGAGTCCCCACCAAGCCCCACTCTGGTGTCATGAATCAATAAGCAGGTGAGTTCACCTGGCTGGAGCTCAGGCAGGGCAAAGAGGCATGCTGCAAATCGTGCTGGCTCATTATCTGCCAGGATCTTTCATAAGCACAGAAGAAACTTTAGTCCAGGATTTTAGATGCCTGCAGGGTTAGGCAGGGTAATTGTGAAAGCTACTTGTACCTAAACAGTGGGGTTAATTTTTTTTTGATTTTTTAAGTGCCTACGTATCTTTTAGATCCTGATTAGATACCTACATGTATCTCAAGGCTACCTTCTACCTTCAGAAACCAAGCTGTTAGGTCCTAGGAGTAATTGGCTGAAGCTTGAAAGTGGTGAAAGAGGAACGAGAAAGAACATTTTGTCAATGAAGAAACAGAACATTGATGATGTTTACAGTGACTCACTATTTCCAGTCTCTCAATATTTCTCTTACATAAGGCTGACAGCGTCATTTAATTACTACCTCAAGAAAAGCAGCTAAATGAAATTATAGCTACCCCTCTACGCTCCAGCACAGTTAATTCTAAATTAACTTAAAGTACTAATACGGATTTTACCTCAACAGAGATTGATGTGTGTATGATGGATTTTCCATATGTATTTCTTCCTTATTATTGGCCTTAAGTTTTGGCAACTAAGAAGTACTTCTTCTGGTTTAAGAAAAGCGAGGAAATTCCTGGCAAATTGTATAATAATGTGTAATTCAGACAGGCTTGGAAACAGGCGTTCTGGAGATTCAGACAGGCTTGGAAACAGGAGCTCTGGAGATGCTTCTCTGCACTTAGTGGGCAGGAGGTTTCTTGTCACTATGATTTTGTTATAACTCATCAAATGGAACTAAAGGTCTTTTGGATACTATCAGGCCAAATTTGCCYGTGGATTTAATTTCAAGCACCCATCCTGTATAACCATTGACTTCCCAAGTACTCTGGAACTGGACATGCAAAATTAGAGACACACAAAATCACAAGTTACATTTGAAATTCTTGCATAACTGTTCTCCCAGACCCAATTTCCTGCATAATGAAATTCACACCAAGATCCTCAGTCACTTCACCAGTAGCTCACTGACAGTGTACTATTCCAATAGCATACTAGATGTAAGAGCTTGTGGCAGGATAAACTAATAGAAAAATGTCACATGATAAAAGCATCTGGTCAGAGTCTGCTGTTTTGTCACTTCAGTCACATGTAGCAGATGCTTTTGAATGCTGCAATGAATCCCTGGGTTCCAGACCAGGCTATCAGTTAGTTCTATCACAAATATTCACTCTACAACTGCAAGACTGGTTCAGCCCAACAGCTATCATCTGTCACACATTGCTCTTTGGAAAGGAAAAAAAGTGTTATAGGGAAGTCTTCGGAGGCGTCATGACAAAGATCTTCCCATAGAAGTGCATTTCCTCTTCCTGAACTAATTTTCAAAGGGTAGCGATTGGCCAAGGAAATTTAGTAATATGTGTCTAATACATGTCCTCTTTGCTTGGCATTTAAGATCTTCGTTTGTGGTATTTACATTTAAAGCAAGCTTCTACTTGAAGGGACACAACACTGTCACCAGTACATAAAATTTGAAGAGATGTTGAGAAGCTAGGAAGTCCTGAATATAAAGCACTGGAAAAAAAATTTCACCTATGTGCAATATGATCAGGACAAGAGGGGGCCCTTTTCAGTCAACTAGCATCATTATGTTGGATAAGGATGATTGTTATATAAAAGAGAGTAGGTCACCAGCTCCTCATCTTCAGCAAAATGACACATAAGAGGCTAAGTTTATGCAGCTTGGCCTTAGGATTGCAGCAGAGCCAGGCAAGAGGTGCCAAAAGCTCTGAGTTACATTCCACTCATCATCAGCAGCAGCTGTTTCCAGTTTTGCAGTGCAGAGGTTCCCATGGGCGAGCTTTGGCAGGGATTCCCAGCTGCTGCCAGGACCCATCCTGGCCAGGACACAGAGGGGGAAATGGCAGCACATCAGGGTGTTCCCAGCTCCATGTAACTAAACCTTGTGTCTTTTCAATCTAAAGCAGCTTAAGCACATCCTGTCCAGGCCCTATGAGATGTTCTTTCAACTTTTTTTTTTTTTCTGTCTCCTCAAAGGACAATGTCAAAGTTCCAGTTCTCTGTGATTGGGAAATTTTCTAGGTTCATATTCTAGATCACTTGACAGTGATGGTGATTTAAGATTTAGATTTAAGAACACAGAGAAAAAGCACAACAAGATAGCAGAATATTTTATTTGAGAAAGTTGCTAAATGGAGAACTTCAGGAGTTTTATGGGTAGTTTTAATGGCCCCTACAGGCCTCTCCATTAGAGATAATGTAATAATATAACAGAATGAGGAAAAAATACCAAGTCTTATGACTCAGAAATTTACTTCTTTCTCCTATACCCATAGACACATACCACACATGAGAACACTGTACACTTGATGAGAAACTAAACTTACCTGGGAAAAGAACAAAGCTCCAGAAAGCCCTAGTGGGCTGTCACATACAAAAAGCTGTATCTGCAGAACAGTATTGCTGGGAGACAGCAGAAGGATGCATAAGCTATCCAGGGGAACATTACATGCAGTGTTTAGATTCATCTCACCTTACTTGAGGCTCCTAACAGAATTGTCTAGAGTTAGCAAAATCATTACCAAAAGTTCCCTGTATGAGCTCCTCATAAAGGATAATACAGCTGGATGAATACTTCCCACTAGTGGATCAGCCTTTCCAGATCTGAATCATTTTCTGCAGGTACACATTTACTTCCACAACCAGAGACAGAACATTAAGAATTCAGCCCAGGCTCTCCATCTCCATGACCCCATCAGTTACCCTCTCACTTCCACTTCCACAGCTCTGTCCGAACCTCAGCTGCGTAGATCTCAGGAATCCCCTATTTCTTAGGGCCTATGACCAAAAGACGTGCTGTGTTCTCCAAATCCTTGCAGCACCAACACAATGCTCATGGGTAGAATACAATTCAGCAACTACCTCAAGCATAACACATATTTCACAGAATCCCAGAATTATAGAATGATTGAGGTTGTGAGGGACCCCTAGAGATCATCTAATCCAACACTCCTGCTCAAGCAGGGACATCCAGAGTATGTGGCACATGGCCACAGCCAGGCAGCTTTGGAAGATCTCCAGAGATCCACAGCCTCCCTGGCAGCCTGTTCCAGGGCTCTGTCACCCTCACAGGAAAGAAATTCTTCCTCACATGGAGATGGAACTGCCTGTGTTTCAATTTGTGCCCATTACTCCTTGTCCTTTCACTGGCCACCACTGAGAAGAGTTTGGCCCCATCCTCCCTACATTCAACTCAGGTACTTCTACATATTGATCATATCTCCTCTCAATCTTTTCTTCTCCAGAGTGAACGGGTCCAGTTCACTTGGTCTTTCCTCATAAGATAGATGCTCCAACCAATTTTATTTGATATATTTCTAACATGTCATTTCATCACTCTATTCTGCATCCAGTTCTGTGGAAGAGCTTTTTCTTCTGCACTTAAAACGCTTGCTGCACTTGCTGTCTCCTAAATCCTGTGTCCTATCAAGCAGGCCCATGTAAAAGTCTTAGATATAATAGAATGTCTCTGACATCAGTAGATATGTTTGTTTAGGACTCCCAGGGACTTTGGCAGCTATTACTTCTACTTTGTCTGCATTTGCAGCAGTGTGCGGAGAGTAAGACAGGATACACAGCAAAAGTGGGCTCAGTGCAGTTCTCACTGCCAGCAGCAGGCATGAAGAAGAGAGGAAAGACTATTAAAGAGTGATCCAGCATAGCTCAGTGCTTTCTAAAATCTTGTAGTCAGTATGCACGAAGTGACTGAAATACAAAGTAATTACACATTTTTCTGAGAATAGTGGTAACTACTGGATAACAGTGCCATGCAAGTATATTAGCTTCATTATTTACTGAGTTTAGTTTGATTGTACTGCAAAAAGCATTTTCATTTCTTTGTTAAATTCCACATTTTCCTGTAGACAAAAGTTAGTTTCATCCAGGTGAGAAATGTATCAAAGATAAGTTGCATAAACAAAACACTACTCAGCAAATGGCAAATTAAAGCATTGACCTCTTATTTTTGAAGGACTCTATCAAAGGGAGAGGTGATGATACCATAATAATTTCCAAAAATGTTTGCTACTGTACTGACAACAAGAAATGAAGGAAGGAAGGAAGGAAGGAAGGAAGGAAGGAAGGAAGGAAGGAAGGAAGGAAGGAAGGAAATGAAACATTCTACAGTTCTATAACCTATAACCTTCTAGGATTTTTTTTTTTTTTTTTTGCATTTTCTTGTAGATACTTCAGCAATGTATTTGAAATCAGCAGGAACTTTGGATGCAAAATATTAAAGAGACTAGATCACAATAGATTTTTGGAAAGTAAGACCACTTTATTAATTAAAAGGTTAATGAACTTATTAAAAAGAACTACAGGCCTATTTTCTTCTCRTTAGTCATATTCTTATGTTGCAAAACCTGCGTAAGGGTGGAACATGATGAAAGATAATGTTAATCTTTTTGTAGTAAAATAAGTTTTGCGTATACTCTTCYGAAAACTAGAAAATGTGGGCATCAATGAGTCAGGGATTGGAAAGCAATATAAAGTAAACAAGGACTATATAAAGGTGAAGCAGGTGTGCAGAGGACTATGCAAAAGAGTATTCTAAAGGCACTGGAAAACAAAAATGAAGAGAGTCCCTTTTYTCCTGTTAATGTGCACGGCGCTTTCTTGGGCTTTTCCTGCAGATACGAGACAGAAGAAAGAAGAAGGTATTCAGAATATCCAGGTGAGGAAGGTGGATTCATAGGGATGAAGTCTTTGGTGATTACTAAATTTCCRTTGCAGTCTCCAGAATGATGCTAGTATATAGTAGCTGAGGAGCTAGTTTGCAAATTCTGGTAGGACAAATGATGTGATTGAGTGTTTCTCAAGCAAAGAGGCTCCTGTTCTTAACTGTGATAGCAAAAATGTCTTCAATTCTTGCTTTATCTCTAATTATTTTGAAGGGAACAATTAAAATTGATTCATTTAGGAGTTGATTCTACCAATAGTTAAACATCTGAATCAGTCTGTACTAGATTAATTTCAGTGTAGGTATTTTTGTGGCATTATGAGGCATAGCTCTCTCTAAGACCAAGATTTTGTTTTGTCTGAATCACTACTGCTGAAATTTTGTATTCTTTCACATATTTCAAACTCTTTATGTACTACCTGCTCTGGAAGAATATGTGTAATCCTGGCGTATATGGCAAGTGGAGGATACGTTACCAGAAAATAAGCAATTTATTGAGTAAATGCTAGTTCTGAATATATTCTGAGTAAACTGCAAAAGTTTTGTACTGACAACATAATAGAAAAGCATCATCATTAAGAGAAAAATATTCATACATGGCTTTAACTGAACTCTATTAYGTATGTTCCCACTTGACAGAAAGAACATGTAGCAAATGTCCAGATTTGAAGTGGTATTAGTATAATTTTTTTAGAATTTCAAAAGTTTAACAATTCTAAAATCATTTTTTATATTTTTGCTAGATGTACCTGGAAAATTACTACAGCTTTAAGAAAGAAGGGGAATCTGATTTCATTTGGAAAAATAACAGCCCAATAACCAAAAAAATAAAAGAAATGCAGGATTTTTTAGGGCTGGAGGTGACTGGAAAACTAGATTCTAAAACACTGGACCTGATACAGCAACCACGCTGTGGATTCCCTGATATAGCTGGATTCTCCACCTTTGCAGGAGAGCCAAAATGGACAAAACAAGTTCTAACATACAGGTAACTGTAATGTAATTCTATTTTGCATAGACAGCATAACTATTTTGCATAGTATAAGCATCAAGAATACCACATTTTTGGAATCTTATATTTTAAAGGATATTAAACTATACACCAGACCTACATCCAGCAGATGTGGATGCAGCAATCAAGAAAGCATTTAATGTTTGGAGCAGTGTAACTCCCTTGAAGTTCATCAAGGAAGAAAATGATCAYGCAGATATAATGATTTCCTTTGCAGCCAGAGGTAAAAACTCCTTGAAGCAGTCAATGAGAGTARCAGTCTAAAAGGGTAATGATTTGTCTTCCTCCATAGCATGCAAAAAGTTCAGTGTCAGATTGACCAATCACACAGAAAAATACAGTTCCTCCTGAAAATAGTATGGTTRTGGTCTGAAAGATCTTTGCAGGATGACACAAAGGGAGATGGAGAGAAGGAAAGCGTAAATGATGCAATGGATTGCATGTAGTTCACTAGAGCTGTACTAGTATACAATGTCCAACATTATGCATGAAACACAATAGASGTAGGAGTTTTGCAATATGCTCAGGTTTAGAATGCTGCAGAGTGGGTAGCTCTAATTACACCCTTGGGATTAGTCATGTGCTTTATGTGAACTGAATAAGCTCTAGACCGACTCAAGGCTTATATTTTTGGTGTAGCCCTCAGGACAGATTTACAAGCAGCCTCCCTCTTTCATTAATAGCATCCCGCAGGCATGCACACTCCTAGTCATCTCTGCTCCCACCCCAGAAACACATCTCCACTCATYGAGGCTAAGTAGCTTTTGCAGGCATCACGTGTAACTACTGTGCTCTTACATCCATTCCAGAGATTGCATCCAAGGGCTTTCTATCRAAGAGTTTACAGTCTTACAGGGAACATACTTCTAGAAAAACTGTATCTGTTCTTTCCCCCCTCACAACAGCAGTAGGTAAACACATAAAAATTTTGGGGGGAGGGAGGAAAATGAAGATTTCATCAGTTCAAATTTCCCCAAGTTTTCCTAATGAAAAATTGATTTTTTTTTTMAAATCCATTTGGAGGAGGAATTTGAAAGTTTACAAAATCAGCAGAACAGAAGGTTCTGTGCATGGGTGAGGTCTGTCAGGTCTGGCACCCTCAGTAACAGTCAATTAAGTGTGGTACTTATTCCTCAGGTCACAATGATTTCATCCCCTTTGATGGCCCAGGAGGGTCCATTGCTCATGCCTATGCACCTGGCACGGACTTTGGTGGAGATGCCCATTTTGATGAGGATGAAACCTGGACCATAGCACAGAGGGTAAGAAATCAAGCTCTCCAAACCTTACCTAAAGCAGGATATGTGTGAAATCAGGGACTCACATTTTGTCTCCTATCTCCCTTATGAAGTGCTGAAAAGTGGGACTGATTTGAAGGCATATTGGTTTCTATAGTTATAAAAAGCCTCCGAGTCCTCTAGTTTAAAAAGTTGAGATCCCAGCAGAGCTTTTGGCATGGACAAGGTGAAGATTTACTCAGCAGGGAGTTGAGGAAATGGGCAGTCCCCTTCTTCCTTTTTTCCTTATTCTTCCTTCTGTTTGACTCTCTCCTCACAATTACATCACTTACACTTGTCTAGGATCCTTCTCCCACACTAATTCCTGCAGGATTGGCAAGTTAGGCACTAACAAAAATAATTCGTTTGAAAGTTGCCATGGATTTCAATGTTTTCATTATATTTCTTCAATGACAAAACTTCATCTCCAAATGAGTTTTCCATAAACAGCTTCACTTGTTTAGGAAAGTGGTTCTAAAAGCCTCTGATCTGCTTTATAGCCTTAATGTTTTCAGAATATATGAAAACACACAGCTCTTGATTTATGCATTTTATTTGCTGTTTTCAGGAACAAATTTGTTCTATGTTGCTCTCCATGAATTTGGCCATTCACTGGGACTTTTCCATTCCAAAGATCCTGAAGCTCTGATGTACCCAATATATAGGAAATTTGACCCTTCAGCGTTTCCACTGCATCAGGATGATATTAACGGCATTCAGTATCTTTATGGTAATTTACAATTATTAATCAATTATTGCTTACACGTTGGAATATATTTCAGTGATATTTTTGTGTAATGAAYATAGCTGACTGAGATGTAATTTTAATTTACTTAGGACATTCTCTTAACACCTACAGTGACCAAAAAGAATCTATTGAGGTAAAAGAACCAGATGAGCCCAAAGAACCTGCTCTGCCAGACACCTGCAGCCCTGATTTAACTTTTGATGCTGTCACCASTTTCCGTGGAGAAATAATGTTTTTTAAAGACAAGTAAGTCACCTCTCCAGAGGTAAAATAACAGAGGTTCATTTTTAAATTATGCTCAAAAATGTGGAAAAATAACTTAGCCCCAAATATTGTCAAGCTGGGATTTCTTATGTGGTCACAAAGGGGTTCAGATAAGAGGTATACTACACTTGGAGGTAAAGGGCATATTTAAGAACCCAAATTTTGTTATTCCCATATTTTTTTCCACTTTTGTTGGTAGCTCATTGACAGTTTGGATGATAATATCTTGGGTCTATGCTATACTGATAAACCCTGTCTTGGGTTTCTCCCAGACCCAGGTGTCCCTCTGCTAGTCACTGCACATTACTCTCTTTAATCTCAGTGACAGCAAGGTGCCTACAATTCTTATGAGATTTATGGTTTCAGAACAGAGACTTTGATACAGGGACAYTTTATCTGCAGAAAAATTAGCCTGATGTATACCTCACTTCAAGCCATATGCACTATCCTAGACAATGGGAATATAGACAATGGATGGCATCAAAACAGCCCAACTGTTACAATTGAAATAAGTGCASTATTCTGGTTTATTAATGTGTTACCCTCATATTTTAGTTTATCAGCTATTGSTAAAGTCTTATTCTTTATAACAGCCTCTCATGGTGGAATTTAAGCTGACCTGGGGTCAACCACATCTCTTTTARCAGTTGACTAAAACAACTAGCCAACAAATTATCTCTAGAAACCTCTCCCACATCAAAAATTATCAGTTCTAGGGAAGAAGGCAGGACAGAAAATTGAGATAAGGAGTGGGAGGTAAAAGGAAGAGAGCAGCGGAGAAATGAAAAGTACAAGAAGCAAGATAGCATTTGAAACAAGACATGATTGCCAGCAGGTCAAGGGAGGTGATCCTGCCCCTCTMCTCAGCTCTGGTGAGGCCGCACCTGGAGTATTGTGTGCAGTTCYRGGCTCCCCAGTACAAGAGGGACATGGAGCTTCTCGAGAGGGTCCAAAGAAGAGCAACTAAGATGATTARGGGAACGGAACATCTCTCGTATGAGGAGAGGCTGAGTGAGCTGGGCCTGTTTTCTCTGGAGAAGAGAAGGCTCAGAGGGGATCTGATTAATGTGTATAAGTTCAGGAAGGGAGAATACAGGGAGGAAGGGGACAAGCTGTTCTCACTGGTGGTCAGCGATAGGATGACGGGTAATGGCCATAAGCTGGAGCACAGGAAGTTCCGTCTCCAGGTGAGGAGGAACTTTACTGTGAGGGTGACAGAGCAGTGGAACAGGCTGCCCAGGGAGGTTGTGGAGTCTCCTTCTCTGGAGGTCTTCCAAACCCGCCTGGATGCCACCCTGTGCCACATGCTGTAGGTGTGCCTGCTTGAGCATGATCTCTAGAGGTCCCTTCCAACCTTGAATATTCTGTGATTCTGTGTTGATATAAAKAAGATGGGGAAAAGATAGCTCATTTGAAAACAAGGGCAGCTTTTGTTTTAGGCTGTAAGCAGTCCAGTATCTGGGAGAATTCAGAAAAAGGCACCACTAGCCCAGACACACTCATCAGCTTTGCTGATGTCTTTGCTGAGAGTTTACCAGTTTTGGTGCAATATGTGCTTTTTTTATATTTATGCAATATTTGCTTGCCTCTGCAGAGGCAATAAAAGGAAACGATGGTTGATTCAGTGCTGTTCAAGGCATAAACTGTCCCTCTCCATGGACATGGCAGSCCAAGGGCTTCAGAATGTGCAGAAGAGGTGGCTTCTCCTCCTTTTCATGTGATGGGGCTGTTCTGCTGGCCCAAATCCTCTACAAACTCATCATTAAAGGCAGAATATCACCAGCAGKGATTATAGAGGCCACAAAACTCAAAATATATTATTTTGTGGAAGCTGGCATTATTCATACCAGTCTTTCTGCAAGCTGGTGCAGGCAACCCTGGGGCAGGGAATCATCCTTAAAACTTCACCCTGTGCCAGTCTTTACTACATTACTACTACACTACTACTACTACTACTACTACTACTACTACTACTACTACTACTACTACTACTACTTAGTACTCTAAGTACTCTTACTACTACTACTCTAGGCTCCTTTTCTGTGTAAAGGGAAAATAATAGCTATTTTGACAGCAGAGTTCATCTGATGTATTTTAGATATTTGTATAAAGTTGAGATGAATCCCCATCATTGGTAGGGACATTTTTTTTTCCATTGACCTTTCTGTTAGAGTGACTAATACAAAGAAGATACTTAGTCACATAAATTTGAAGATACTTAGATAAATTAGAAGATACTTAGAAGATACTTAGTCAGATAAATCCAGCTCATATGCTCTGCTGCCATGGTGTGGTTTCATACATTAGTGTGTATAAACGTGATTTCATTAAAAAGCTCTACTATATTTCTATCAGGCACTTTTGGCGCAAGCATCCTTCAGTCAGAGAAGTTAACTTTGGCTTAATTTCATCATTCTGGCCACGGCTGCCACCTGGTGTTGATGCTGCATATGAAGTTCCTGAAAAAGATGAAACTGTTCTTTTTAAAGGTTAAAATATTCTGTTTTTATTTTCCTCTATTGCTTTTACATGTAGCCTTGTGGGATTGTGTCTGGTTTTAAAGCCACTTAAGATTTTTCTGTCAGCTTACACAGCTTTTAGTCCAACAAATCACTGTTTTTCCTTCAGAGAGTTAACAAAAATATTGTCCAAGATAAGAAGCAAAATAATTTCCTGCCAAAATAAATGCCATTTTTCCTCTTTTCTGGAAAATTATGTATCCAAATTAAAATTATAACAGGTATATATACTTATCTTGTGGAAAACTGAAGTGAATTGAGATGGAAGATTAAAGTTGTAGATTTTGCATAATGTAATACCTAGTCCCCATCTTGTACACTTTGGACTGTTRCTTTCAATCTCATGAAGCAGTCATTCTCATGCAGTATTCTCATCAGAAGGTTCTGATAACTTTTCCATCAACATTTTTTGACAGGGAATGAATTCTGGGTTGTGAGAGGAGATACCATACTTCCTGGATATCCTCAAAAAATCTATGTCTTGGGCTTTCCAAAGGACGTGACCAAAATCGATGCTGCTTTCTTTAATAGAAATAAGGGGAAAATATATTTCTTCATAGCYGACAAATTTTGGAGGTAATATTTCCTGTGCTACTTTCCTTTTTAGAAGCAGACATAATCACATGGTGTGATTATGCCATGATTTTGAGTTTAATTACTCACACAAATTTGGTCATTTCTTTCACCATCACTACTGTCTTGCAAAAGGATCCTGAAACAGTGCTTTAGATTTCACTTTAATTGGTTCATTTACTTAACACTCCTCTCTATTTATTTGGTTGCTTTGATAAAAAATCTTAGAGCTCTGTAAATCTCAGTAAATGAGTCAGAGCCATAAACCCAGAATATTTTTATCAAAACTCTTCCTGCAGAATAAAAGGATTTTATCTTTTTTATCTCCCTTTACCAACAGGTAGTTTGAAGAACTTGCAATCAAATGCCATGTATTGCAAATAATCACCCCATTTTCAGGGCTATGATTTTCTCTTTTCCATTCAATCACTTCTGCTCAGTATTGTTGCATGGACCTTGTATTTGTGAAAACTGAAAGAGGTGCTGCTATAAGTGGTAATTAATCTCAGCTTTTAGAGCTGAATGCTATAAATTTTATCTTTTCTGTCACTGTAAGTATTCTGAAATGATGGCTCATACAAACAGTGATCATCGTGAAGTCATTACTCAGCCACATATTTACAGTTTAGACAGAACAGATTTCTACACTTTATTTCAAATTGTCGCAATTTGAAGATCTTCACCTGAGTTATTTGTTTAATCATTAAATGTTTTGCAGAGCAAAGTTATTAGAATGAAGACACTGTAACTTTGTTATTCCAGCCTTGCTAGATGAGCTGAACTTCACTCTCTTCAACAGCCTACTACAGCTTACACCCTAACTAAAATTCCATTTTTTTCTTATACATATTTCTTACAAAGAGGGAACATGAAAGAAATCTCATGTMATCTTACAAATCTAACTTCTGTTTGAGATAGATAAAATTATTTGTCTCTCCTTCATGTACAGTCTCTTAGAAAAAAATAATGATGAGTTTTATAATGATGATTCAAATATTAAGTATTTTTAGACTATGTTGTAAGTTGACAGAAACAATACCTAGGTAGAGTTAATGGTGTGATAGTGATTTCCGACATCTCAAAGACTGTCTCAAGGTTATCCAAAGACTACGGAAATTCTTCAGTGAGCTTAGTTCCATATTAGTTGGTTCAGGGCAATGTGCTGGGCTGCATTAATCATGATTTGTTTATATTTTTAATTGATGCCAGATTGTTTCTCGTTTTTCTCAGTTATAACAAAAGAAGCCAGTCCATGGACAGGAAACCCAGACACATAAGAGAGGCATTTCCAGGAATTAATGAGAAGATCRATGCAGTTTTTCAACATAAGAGTAAGTGAGATATCTCAAGTAAATCTGCACTAAATGCTTGGTGTCACAGACTTGGACAGAAATATACCCTTCTGGATTCTACTCACAGCCCTGGGAGTGACCCCTGAAGACCTGAAGAAGTCAAAAACCACTTTTGTGCTTTACCTTACCCATTGGAAAAATAACAATATTTTTGGTGACAAACTGTAGAAAGATAGAAAGTCACAAATAGAAAGTCTAGTTCTAAAGGTCAGATTGCAATATTCATGTTGACCTGTATCTCACACCACTCAAGACACCAAGGTCTCAACAACATAAGGTCTACAGCCTGGCCCTAACATATGAAATGGCACTAGTTGGAAAGTAATAATTGGTGATCATGTTTTCCTGTGCAAAGGAGAGCATTATTTAGACAGAGAAACTCTGAAACAGCCTCAGGGTACATCTACACTGTCAGATGGTACAGCTTCCCAGTTTTCTCCAGGTTCCTCATCTCCTGATCATCAAAGGACAYGGAGATTAATTGTTTCCTAGTGAATCTATCAGCTTTCTCCAAAACAAACCCCAAACAAACTTCTCCTGGAGGGGATCCATGTTGCAACCATGACTCCCAAAGAGTGGGGTGAAGGACAATGCACCAGCTGAGTGTCTCCTTCCCTGTTCCATGTCCTGGGGCCACCAGCCCACCATGCTCTATGACATGCTCTGGGGCACACAAGCATATCCTCGCCTGCATACAAGAAAAACAGTCCTCAAAAGGGCTTCAGCACAGCCTTGGCATGATAGCAGACATTTTAAACTGCAGATTAACATAGGTTAAACTACCTCATGGGGTGTACAGAATTCACTAACTGCATTGTGCAGTAAGTACACAGCTGGTCTGCTAAGGAAGGCACTAGCCCAGAGCAGTGTGTCCTCAAGCCCAGCGCACCATGCCACAGAGGTCACACCTGGGAGTATATGCTGTTCACCGTGTAAATGTAGCCAAAGTGTTTTTAAACCTTTGCAAGCTTTTGTTAAAAACCTTTGCAAGCTTTTGTTAATCTATATATCAGCAATATCCTAATTCATGTGGCTTTTTTTTTCTTAGACTTCTTCTACTTCTTCCATGGAAGAAAGCAGTTTGAATTTGACCCTAGTAAGAAGAGAGTTACACGCCTCCTTAAGACGACCTTCTGGTTTCCTTGTTAAGAAAATGACATCTGTGCTAGTGTAGGAGAGAGTACAGTGTTGTACTGGAGTGAGTTTTGCTTTTATAAATGTCTGTAATAGTGAAATATTTCAGACTTCATTCCGCAGACCATCTGACCCCTGCACATTTCTATAAGAACAGAAGAACAGTGTTTTACATACGTCTCTGTATATATGTACATAAGTAACAAAGGCATTATTACATATTTGTCAGATTGTTTACTTGCCAAAGAACAACAGTGCAGTTTTTACTTTTGATACAAAATTGTTTCTTGTTTCATTTTTTGCATAGTCATCTTTTCACTCTTTGTGCCATGTACCACCTTACCCTAAACCCCAGCAGCCACAAGCTGACTTGGAATAGCATTTCTGTCCCTAAGCTAGGATTGCTTTCCACCAATTTGAGAAAAATAAAAGCTAGGCAACCAAGCTAAAAAACTGCTTTTCATATGTATGGAAAGAAAAACAGGGACAGCAGAAAGCAATTTTTCCAAGATAAGTGAGTGCATGGGTATGCCAGCACTGCAGTGTTCTCCAGGTCGCTGGAAGTAGGCATCACTGCTAACATACCACAGGTGGGAGGTGTCTAGGGAGATATTTTGGCACCTAAGCATATAGACAGGCAGCAAGCGGGATCTAAAGCTTTTAAGATTTTTTTTTTTTTTTTGGGGGGGGGGGGGGTTGTTTTATGAATGCTTCCCTTTCATTCCTCTGCTGCAAGAATAGAGTAAGCTTTTTCCTTACACGGACAAGTGCAGGGTCCTGYRCCTGGGGAGGAATAACCYCAGGCACCAGTACAGATTAGGGGTCGACCTGCTGGAGAGCAGCTCCGCAAAGAGTGACCTGGGAGTCCTGGTTGACACCAAGTTAACCATGAGTGAGCAGTGTGCCCTCRTGGCCAAGAAGGCCAATGGGATCCTGGCTGCATCATGAGGAATGTTGCCAGCAGGTCAAGGCAGAGGATCCTGCCCCTCTACTCAGCTCTGGTGAGGCTGCACCTGGAGTATTGGGTGCAGTTCTGGGCTCCCCAGTATGAGAGGGATGTGGAGCTTCTCTAGAGGCTCCAGTGGAGAGCAACAAAGATGATTAAGGGAATGGACCATCTATTTTATGAGGAAAGACTGAGTGAGCTGGGCCTGTTTAGCCTGGAAAAGAGGAGGTTGAGAGGGGATCTGATTAATATGTACAAAAACATAAAGGGGGAATGTAGGGAGAAAGGGGCCAAGCTCTTCTTGGTGGTGGCCAGTGATAGGACAAGCGGCAATGGGTACAAGTGGAAACACAGGCAGTTCCATCTCCAGGTAAGGAGGAACTTCTTTCCTGTGAGGGTGCCAGAACCCTGGAAGAGGCTGCCCAGGGAGGTTGTGGAGTCTCCTTCTCTGGAGATCTTCCAAACCCGCCTGGCTGCCACCCCGTGCCCTGTGCTCTGGGTGTCCCTGCTGSAGCAGGGGAGTTGGCCTAGATGATCTCTAGAGGTCTCTTCCCACCTTAACTATTCTGTGATTCTGTGATTCTGTTTTCAATGTATTTTATGGAACTTCTTTTCTGATCCATTTTTAAACCCTTCTGGAAGCAGGGCTATTCAGACAGAAGACTCCAGTGGATGTCTAGGTTATGCACAAATTTTATCAGAAATTCATCATGGTCCTGATCATATTAGAGCGCTCTCAATCTTGCAGGATGCAGGTATTTATTGTCACTCTCTTGCTTTTGCAAATAAGTAAACAGTACAAATACTACCGTCATTTCTGAACATGGAGGTAGGGAGTGAGTTGGGCTTTGCTGACCAGGCAGAGCTGGAAACAAAATGCTCCTTCCAGCTTTGTGGATCTTAGCTACAGTACCTCCAAGAAAAGGACAGGTAGCTCTGACTAACTGCTAACTTGAACATTTCTATTGATTTTAGTAGGAGAGATCTCAGGGTTACTTTATTCCTTAATATTTACCTTATGCAGTTCTTGTTTCCTTGGTTTCTATTTTTCCTTAATGCTTCCGGTGATAGCTCTGTAAGTGGTCACATAACAACAATACATTTTAGTCAGCTCRCTGTCTCAGCTACAACAGTAAAAGACAAAAACATGCATGAGTAGTTCATATGAGTAGTTCTTAAAGGGGATTTCTAATGGTTCCAGTGTTTTTTTTACAGTTGTTCCTACTGTGTATGCCAGATTCCCGGGGCATACACAGACTCAATCTGTAAATCTGTGCTGTGGAATTGACCTCTTACTGATGGTTGTTTCGGAGGAAGTTTTACTTCTATCATCTCCTGTACCAACCGCCAGGTTGAACAGGGTGAGGTCAGCCCAGCAAGGCCACCACACACCCAGCTCCCAGCAGGGAAATGCAGCTGGGGCACAGCAGTCCACAGCCCTGGCGCTGGCAACAGGCCCGACGAGAACAGCAAATCCGATATTGTCTCTTTGTGTACACAGGAAACAGGTACTCGGTGCAGAGATTGGCGCTCCTTCCCTTCTTTGTAGAGCTCGACTGATTGCAGTGATGATGTCATGTCTGAGACGGTGCAAGTCACTAGGTGTAACTCAGGAACTGACCTGTTTATGATCTGCCAAGTTGCATATTTTTCTACTGAAGAGTGATAACACCTGATTCAGCCCATGCCACACCGAGTCCTGTCACAATGCYCTTCTGCCACAGCCCAACGCAGCCTCCTGGTTGAGAGACCCTGAGAACTGAGAAACCCATCAGGGTCTTGAAGCCCAAACAACAGTGTTTCTTTAAATTAGATGTTGAACATCAGCTATGGACACTCCAGAAGCTTGTAAGAATTGACTTGAGCTGCACATCAAGTTTCTTCATCTCAGCATCCAAATGTACATGGCTCATTGGAGGCAACTCTTAGTGAATTTTTAAGTTTCCAAAAATATCTGGAAACTAGTAGAATATTGCTGCACAATGATACAATATTCATCTTCGATGTTTCAGTCTTCTCAGTAAAAATTGATTCCTTCAAGGAAAAGGGCTTGCTTCTGTGTCACGTTTGTTTTTTGCTGAAAGACTGGACTTTGTTGCTTCAAAATACGTTGGAAACACATAGGGYTTGGGATCTGATTAGTAGCACAGAACAAGCATAGAAGTACTTCCTGTTAGAATGATGACTGTGCCAGCTGGTTGTGAGAGAGTTTGACTGAAATCATGATTGTGACGAACTGTAGTTAGTAAACAATTATGAATTGCCATGTTTATTTTTTGTAATATTAAAAATATGGAACTACCAATTCAAGTTCCCCTTTCTGTAGTACTTCTGTAATGAGAGACTCTTATCGAGGAAAACCCACTATGATTCAACCTGGGAATTTATTTTTTTCATTATTTAGTCAGTAATGTGGGTGGAAGCTTCACCTAAGGGAAGATGAAAGTCATAGAACATTTTAAAATACTTTTGAATATAACTGGGGGGTAAAAGGTAAAGAAACCAAACAGTCAAATAATAAAACCCCAAGAAAATGAGACCCAGAGTAAAAATCAAAGTCACAAATAATTCTCAGAGGCAGAGAAACTATTCTGAGGAAATATTGCTATCTTTCTCCTCTTATACCTTTRCCTAAATGTCCTTTTCAGTCGGTACTGGGAACAGGAAATATCACAGTTGTACCTCCAGTATTTCTGATGTTGCTATGGAAACTTAATGAAAGAGGTATGTCAAGTAAAGTACCTAAAAAAGAAGTATTTCAGTCTCTTGCCTCAGAAAAAAAAACAGCTAGCCTGCAGTTTGATTGAGCAAGAAGATTGTGTGTAAAGTAGGATTATTGCTAATACAGAACTAATAAAAACAAATACTCTGCAGGAGCAGAATGGATGAATTCTGCAGGAGCAGAATGGATGAATACCTAAAAACTCTGCCCTTTGTTAAACACAGGAGCAAATCCCTGCTCAGGCCCCAGTTTAGATGTGGGAGAACCTAACAGCTGGTCTTGGCAGGATGACACAGGGCAAGCTGCCCACATTGAGAGTCCTGGGCAGAGCTGCCCAGTTCCCTTCTGGGCTCAGCAGGGAAGTGCAGGCCTTGCCCTTCTCCACTGACCATATAGGGAGTCAGGGGACACTTTGGACAGAATTAGTGTGTTATGAGCCTATGAACATGGCAGCCTGACAGAGGCAGGGCTGTTGCAGCTCTCTGCCCCCAAGTTCAAGCAGGAGCAATTCTAAGTGTATATTCTCAGCTGGCACAAACATACACACACACTGACTACTGTGGTAGTCAGCGGCACGGAGTCTAGTTGGAAGCCTGTAGTTAACGGTGTCCTCCAGGGGTCGGTCCTCGGTCCAGTCCTGTTCTACTTATTCATTAACGACCTGGATGAAGGGCTGGAGTGCTCCCTCAGCAAGTTTGCTGATGATACCAAACTGAGAGGAGTAGCTGATAGCCCTGAGGACTGTGCTGCCATCCAGAAGGACCTGGACAGACTGAACGACTGGGCGGTGAGAAATCTCATGAAGTTCAACAAGGGCAAGTGCAGGGTCCTGCACCTGGAACGGAATAACCCCASACACCAGTACAGATTAGGGGTTCTCTGCTGGAGAACAGCCCCGCAGAGAGGGACCTGGGCGTCATRGTGGATGACAAGATGACCATGAGGCAGCGTGTGCCCTGGTGGCCAAGAAGGCCAACGGGATCCTGGGGAGTATTAAGAAGAGCRTCTYCAGCAGGTCGAGSGAGGGGATCGTCCCCCTCTACACAGCCCTGGTGAGGCCACATCTGGAGTACTGCGTCCAGTTCTGGGCTCCCCAGTACAAGAGGGATGTGGAGCTGCTGGAGAGAGTCCAGCGCAGGGCTACGAGGATGATCAGGGGCCTGGAACATCTGCCCTATGAGCAAAGGCTGAGGGAGCTGGGGCTGTTCAGCCTGGAGAAGAGAAGGCTGAGGGGGGACCTCATCAGTGTCTATAAATACCTCAGGGGAGGCAGTGAGGAGGAGGGGCCGGCCTCTTTTCAGTGGTGGGCAGCGACAGGACTAGAGGAAACGGCCACAAGCTGAGGCA